GTCAGCAACAGGAGAAACACCAGCTTGTCAAGCAGCAGCTAAAGGATCAATATTTCCTGCAGAGGCACGAGTTGCTCCGGAAGCATGAGAAGGTGAAGAGTTAGCACCTTCCTATGCCAGTGCTGGTTGGCAGAGTGCCTGAGTGTCCCCAGAAGGGATGCTTCCCTTCCAGGCTGTAAGTGGGTAAGGGTGGGTTAGCAGTTAAGGGACTTTGTCATTATTAGTGAAAAAGGGACAAGAGTAATGCTCGGTTCAGCCTATTTACGTGGGGCAAGTATTCTGTGCTGCAAGCATTTAACGTACAAGAAGCAGCTGTGAATTTTGGGGGCTTTTCTGAATCTGTCACTGTCTGGTATGTGGGATGGTGGATTCCCAGAACAGTGAGTGAAGACTGGCGAGTTGCTTCTGCTTCCTGCCAGCCCCCTTCTCCTCTGCTTTCACAGCATGTTCAGTAGCTGCCCTCATCTCTTGTCCCCTTGGAGCTGTATGTCACCAGCCAACTATGTGCAACTCCCAGATCTGCTTTCCGGCTCTCTGTGGTCTCCTCAGCACTTTCTCATTGGCCTGAGGTGTCTCTCCTCATCTGATACCTGTCCCTCGGCCGTTGCAGGAAAGGGAGCAGATGCAGAGATACAACCAGCGCATGTTAGAGCAGCTGAAAATTCGGCAGCAGCAGGAGAGAGCCCGGCTCCCCAAAATCCAGAGGAGCGAAGGGAAGACGCGCATGGCCATGTACAAGAAGAGCCTTCACATCCACTCCAGCGGGAGTGCATCCGAGCAGCGGGAGAAGATAAAACAGGTTTGGGGATGAAGGACTTCACTGGCCTACTGGCAGAAGGGTAGTTGCAAAAAGACAGCTCTTCCCAAATTTCTAACACACTGCAGGGAGTCAGAGATCTTTGCTTTTGTGGCATCAGGTGTGGTTTTCAGCACCAGTTCTATCATGACTAGTGTTGGGGAAGCATCCTTGGGGCTTTTTTCTTTGGGATATAATAGTGCAAGCTGGCCAGTCTCTTAACCAGTGTCAGAGATCAGAGCAAAGCTGCCTACACAGGCACCTGCTTTTCTCTCTCCCAGTTTGCTCAGCAGGAGGAGAAGAGGCAAAAAGCAGAGCGGCTGCACCAGCAGCAGAAGCACGAGACGCAGATGAAGGACATGCAGGCCCAGTGCGAGAGCAACACCAACGAGCTCCAGCAGCTGCAGGTACTGTCCCTCGTGGCTCAGTCTCTCAGAGCTGCCTGTGCACTGGTTCTGCTTTGGCACAGAGCATGTCATAAGAAGTGGCTGCAGAGGACTGTCAGTGAGCTAGACATGAGGTTCCCTTGCTCTGGCTTGAGAGGTTTTTGTGGCTCTGACTGAATGTGTCCTGAAGCCCCAGAGCAATAAATGCCTCTGGCTGACACAAGCCCTGTTTGACCACAGCATTTACAGTTCCAGCTGCTTAGTGGGTTTTCTGTTTTGTGATCTGTGTTTAGAATGAAAAGTGTCATCTCTTGATTGAACATGAAACACAGAAGCTTAAGTCCCTGGATGAGAATCACAACCAGCACATGAAGGAGTGGCGAGACAAGCTGAGGCCACGGAAGAAGGTAGTGCCTCCTTGGTGTGAGCAGGGTGTCCTGCTTGGCTGGTTGGAAGGGACAGTGTCCGTAGCTCCAGTACAGTCTCCAATATAGCTCTTGTATGTGTTCCTTTTTGCTTAAGGCCCTGGAGGATGAGCTGAACCAGAAGAAGCGTGAGCAGGAGATGTTCTTCAAGCTGAGCGAGGAGGCAGGTGGACAGATGCCAGCATCCCCAACCAAACACGCCAAGTTTGTCCCGTTCAGCTCTGCAGAGAGCTTGTAACATCCCACAGCTGGCAGGCCACCAGCTGGTACTTGCTCTGTCCTCCTGGGCTGCAGGTGGGCAACTTAAACTTTGAAGATCTTCTCGGCAGCCTCTTCTTACAACAGCACCCTCCTGCCCCTCGCTCTGTATGGGACAAACATGGCCTCTGTCCTGCACGGGGGGCTGCCGACTGGAAGTTTTGGTGACTTTTCCTGTCGCTGGCCTGCTCAGCACAGCTCCGGGCTGGGAAGCTGGGCAGGACCCTCGCTGCGACCGTACTGGCACTGCCGGCTGGCTGCGCTGCCTCTGAGGAGAGCCTGGTGCTCCCGGGGCCTGTCAGCCCAGGCTGAAGCAATAACCGCTCTGAGCGGGAGCAACGGGCCCTCTGCACGGGGGTGAGCAGCCTGTCTCTCCACTGCGGCTGCTGCTCCTCTGTCCTCTGTAAGGGCTAGACTGGGGCAGAGCAGCTTTGGCGTTGTCTTAGGCTAACCTCGGCCTTGTGGTCCCCCATTTGCCTTAGATTTATTACTCTCTACTGTGGCCCTTTTTTGCTCAAGGGAGAGACAGTGATTTGGATTTTTTGGCCTTTGAGGAGGGAGGGTTGTTTTTTTTCCTCTTCCTCCCTGTACAGACTATGCAAAAAGGACCAGCTGGACATTCTTCCAGAGATGCTTCTGCTTCTTCATTTGCTGGCACCATGGTCCCTCTAGCAACTAACTAACACTATCTCCTCAGAGACTGGACTGTGGCATAACTGAACTGTTCAGCTAGCTGCAGAATTTTGTCTCTTAAAGAAGTGTGTGTGTGGAGGGAGAGGTTTGTAACGGTGCTCAGTCCTGGAGTGACACAGTGAGGTTTCAGTCACAGTCATGAGCCTTCTGGTAAGGACAAGCGAGGGGCCAAAGGGTCTTCTTGCCAGAGTTCTCACAATCACATGTGCTTGAGCTGGTTTTTTAAGTGCTATATATTTGTGGGCCAGCCAGCCTGGCCACTCTGCAGTCGGGGTTATGGGCTGCAGAGCATCATTTGAAAGGAATAAAGGAGTCTTGAAACAAAGGATGCAAGAGAAGAGGAAGTGCAGAGACAGGTCATGGTGGCTTGTTGTTCTCAGCATGATTTTCTCCACTGATGTCTCACCTCCTTGTGACGTGCCACAGTTTCTAGGATGATTCTCCTGGCTTTCAGCTTGGAGTTGTGCTGCAGAGCAGCAGCATAGCAGCAGGTCCAGCCCTCTGTCCTTTCCGTGGTGATGTGTCTTGGTCTGGCTGCCTTCCTCCACCTTCACAGGGCAGTGCTTGGCTGGGCTGTTGGGTAGGATCCAGAGCACAGGCCTGGGTAAGGGGACAGAGACCTCACTAGGCAGCACCTTCTTTACACAACCAAAAGGTGTAAGGTAGGACTTAGCTTTTTCCTCTCTACTGACCCCTGGACAACATTGTTTTAGGCCTGTTTCCCTAGCAAGAAAATACATTTCTGGTGGAAAAAAAAAAAAAATCTCATATGTTGATTTAGAGACATACTGGCATTTCAGGAAAAGGTGGTATGTGATGTGCTACACCTCCAGGTACCTAGTTGAAGGATTTAGCCCCCCTAGATGACCTCTTTATCTGAGCAGTGCATTTACTACCCATTTAGAATTCATAATACATATTTACAAGCTTCCTGCAAACTAGCAAGACTACATCCATTTGGGCGATTCCAAGTTTCTTCTGAATCCACACCATTAATGTCTCTATTAATAAAAGTAGCCTAGATGGACACCTAAGGGCTGGGCCCCTTTGCCAGCAGACTGCGTAGCAGCTTTTCAGCAACTGGCCTGTCTTGCTGGGAACACTGCCTGTCCCATCTCCAAAAGCAGTGTATGACAGCACCAGGCTGGGAGCTGATGTAAAATCAGTGAATGCAGAAGGTTGTTCCTGAACAGTGTGCTGGTTTGAGCCTTTTAATTGCATTAGAAATGTGTTACAAGCAGCCCCAGTGGTTTTGTTCCTGGTCCTGCTGGGGTCAGGCTGGAGCTGTTCTATGAAATGGTTGTTGTCACAGAAGTCAGTACCCAGCACCTGTCCTTCATGCCTTAGATGTGACCTGCAGAAGGGTGTCCTCCAGCATACTGTTAGGAGCTCCGGCAGCCCAGGGGCACTGCTGCCTCTGACTGCCTTCTTCACCAGCCCAGGGAGTGTCAGCTCTCCCTGGGTATTCTGCAGCCATGGGGAAGGAAGCTGGTTCTGGAGGCTTTTGAAGAGCCCTAATGGTAAATGGGTTGTCCCTTTTTCCAGTTGAGTTTATTTGCAGCCTGGAGCCAGAAAGGCAGTTTTGCAATCAGGGTGGGAATGGTTTTGTTCCCTACGCTTTCCCTGTTCTGTTTCTCTCCAGGTGTGCCAAGGCTCCAAGAAGAGAGCAGAGGAGCACATCTTCTGGTTGTCACGTTTACAGGGTGGTTATATTCTCTCCCCACCCCTTCAAAAGAGGGTGTTTTTCTTGTTTCCTGTTCAGAAAGAACCATGAATAAACCAATTTTTGAGAGCGGATTGGATGCCATTTTTTAAAACGTGGCTTTGGATGAAACTTTTTAAAAAATATTTTGTAAAGTGTCTTTCAGTGGGGCCACCTCTACGATGTCAAGACCCTTCTAATAAAGTAACAGAGTGAGAAACCTGGGCATGTCTCTGAGTTCCTGCCTGACCACCCGCCGTGGCCTCGGACCGGCTTTGCTTCTAGGCTGGGTTTTGGTGACCTAGAGAAGCCTCCAGAGCGCGTTCTGGCCGGTGGGCCGTGCGGGGCCGAAGCTGCAGCTGTTGAGAGCGGTGCGGCGCTGGGTGCAGCAGCAGTCCCCGGGGACCCGTTGGGGGATGAAGCGGTGCTCGGCTGACCCCGCGCGGTGAGGAGGAGTACTGCATCCCGCCGCCTGGGGGCCGCTTCTGCGGGGCTGCCGCCTCCCGTCTCAGGAGCCTCCCGGGCTTCAGCAGATCTCGGACAAACACCTCAGCTCCCCTGCGCTGGTGGGACAGGGAGGTCCGAGGGCTGCCTCCCTGTCTCCTCCCCTGCTGTCCTCTGATGAGGAGCACTTGGATGCTGGGGATGCGTTTTGGGGCCAAGACACAAATCATGTCCTCCCCCATCAGTGCAAGGGGGAGACCTCTGCTTGCTCCCTTGGGTTGCTCAGAGAAGATCCCATCTCTAGCTAACCCTAGGGCCTGTGTGGCCTCGATTTCTGCTCAGAGATTTTCACAGTTTTGTTACAATTTCTTTCATCCAGCTGCCCTGCGCCAAGCGAGGACACACGGCAGTGGCATCAGCCCATGAAGCTGGTGTGCTTTTCCCTCATTTTTGGAAGGTTGCTCCAGAGCCTGCCAGCTTCTACCTTGGGTTTCCTGCTGGAAATGACCATGCTACCAGTGTTCACCCTGGTTAGGTAATATTGCAGACTGTGAGTTCAGACATGAGGTGCTTAAATGGAGAGGGATTTAGTACTGTAAGTTGTTGCTGGTGGGGTTTTTAATGGGCAGTACTGTGGTGAGAGGAGGACAAGAGCAAAGCATGAAGGTGCCTGTCTCCTTCAGGAGGAAATGAAATAGCTGAGGACACATAATTAGCTACTTTTGTTTATGTGGACCAGGACTGTCCTGTCTCCTGGGAGAAGCTGGTCAAAAATGGCCTCGCTCAATGCATTCCAGTGAAGCAGAGGATCTCACGGGAGTATTTAGCTTCATCTGCGTGTCCTTGGCAGCGCCTGAGGGGAGCTTCAACCGTGAGCATACGTAAATTTATAAATCTATGTTGAAAGCACCATGTATTCCAGAAATAACTGTTATCCATCATTCTGCCCTGGTGTAATTCTGAAAACAGAGCAAAAGTAAAAATCTTTCCCTCTTTTTTTAAAAATAGAGGTGACAGCCCTGAAAAGTTACTGGTGCTGTAGCATTCCCAGCCCTCCTCATTACCTCTCTGTGCTTCATGTCCTGTCGTGTCTGGGCTCCAAGCTCCTCTGGGCTGCCCAAAGGCTTTTGTGGCGTTCCTGCCGTGATGGGAATGAAGAAACTCTCTGGGGGAAGAAAAAGCAGGGCAGGCAGGGAGAGCGGTGGAGCTGAGGCTTGTGCCTGCCTGCCTTCCTCCCCTGGCTGCAGCTGTTCTCCCTCCCTTGCTGCAGGAGGACGGCTGGAGGTGACCACTGCTGTAGGCATGTCCTTCAAAGTCTTCTGCACCCAGTTAAGCCAAATGCTGTTGCACTGGCCACTGGTTTGATTCCCCAAATACCAAGCTACACAGGGCTTGAACGAGCCAATCCTCTCCAGAGGCTGGTGGCTCTGCTTCCTGCTGGGGTTCGTTGTCCCTCTCCTGGCTGGGATGGGGCTCGGTGACAGGGATGCGCTTGCCTTGGCACTCTACCTGCCCTCACGAGCACCCCCTGGGACTCCCCTGGGCCTAGTTTGGGGCTTGCAGGGGGTGCAGGGTGATGTTTGCTCTTTTCCTCCTGTTGCCCTGGTGGCACACACACTGGGGCAGTGGCCCTGGGCTATTGGCCTGGCTGCTGCCCACACAAGCACAGGGCTCCTGGAGACGAGCTGCCCTCACCCCCAAATGTGTGCTCCCGGGTTTGTCACTTGCTCTGGCCCACCTCTCCCTAGAGCTCTGCTTCTCATCCCTGCTTTTCGACTTCATCTCCTGCCCCATCATTGTTCCTAGGAGTCCTCCAGGGTTCTGTGCCCACGGGCATGTGTGCCAGGACAGCCTCCCCTGTTTGAGGGCTGAGCATCCCCTCCGTGGGTCTGCTTTTCCCTGCTGCCGTGCAGGGTGGGTACAATCTGCTGCCAGGCTGACCGTTATTATGGCATCCACACCACCCAGCTAAAACCTGCAATACTGGGGTCAAAGCAGTGGAAAATCATTCCCTCTGGCAGCTGAGAATCAGTGCAACCCAGCCCTGGTGATAGAGTGGGCAACCACTGCTCTGCTGAGTTTCAGCTGCAAATACTTGCCCTCTGTTGTGGTAGAGGCATCACTTTTGGCTAATCTTTGTGAGGGAGCTCAGGGAAGACACATGCATTTGTTCTGTAGACAGGGCAGGGCTGGGAGCATTTAGCGACCCAGGCA